GTAGTCCTCCGCAAATCCGAACATCTGGAAAGGTAGTGGCAGAGGGTTTGTGCTCATGGGATGATAGAGGGAATGTTTAAATCCGGGCAAGTCTGGAAACACTTGTCTGAAGACTGAAGAAGGAGAAGGCCTAGCATAATTATTTTCTTGACAACTTCAAGGCGATTCAAGCCAGCTGGAACCTAGGTGGTCCTGTGCATTCGCACTGAAAGCCTTGGAAAGGCTGGGCAGCTGCAAGATTTGGTTGATGGCTTACGCTTCAGGGTTGTGAAGATTCGCGCTTGGAGTCTCGGGCTGAGGGTTCAGCGTTTAGGGTCTCGAGTTGACGGTTTGGTGATGTTTTTTGGCTTTCAGCCACTGAAGCTTTCGCAAATGCCAGACTTTGTGTTGGGTGTACTTAGATGTTTCTTGGAAGCGTAATGGCAGCCTGCTTTTGAATTGGTGGAGGTTTCGCATCTGTCATTTGAACATATACTTGAGGCCATCACGATCCAAACATCGGACAGGAGGAAGCAAGCAGCAAACAGGCCGTATGAGGATTTGAAGCACCACCCGTTGCTCCGTAATTTGGCAAAGGGCTCGGAGGCGTGTGCACTAGACGTACCGAAGTCCTGGGCCCTAAACCCTAAATCCCTAAACCCTAGACCCCTAAACCCGCTAAACCCCTAAACCCTAAACGCCTAGCCCCCCTAACCCCACAAAGCTCCAAACCCTAAACCCCTAAACCCTAAACCCCTACGCCTCTAAACCCCTAAACGCTCCGACACCCCAAACCTTGGCCCAGGCTCAAGATCACGTGAAGCTGATCGAGCTGCTGCCGGCTTCCATCGATGATGTCAAGTTTGCTTTTGCCAAGGCGTGGACTAGGGTTTAGGGGCTTTAGGGGTTAAGGGTTTCAGGGTTTAGGGATTCAGGGCTTAGTGCATTGCAGTCCCTGCTCAACAAAAGTGCTTGAAGCAGCGCTGGTTCGAAGCCTTGAGCAGGAATTGGACTATTAGTCAGTCATGGGTTCGCTGAAGACCCGCTGCATAATGCACATATGTATATATATATATATGTATATCTATATACATACATACATATACGTGACACCTGCCATGCAGAGTCAGCGATGATGCCAAGCGGTAGCCATAAAATCACATACTTACATACAGACAGACAGACAGACAGACAGACAGACAGACAGACAGACAGACACACACATATTCAATTTGCATACACATATACATACATAATTGCATACATACATACATCCATACATTACATTACCTTACCTTACCTGACCTGACCTGACCTTACCTTACCTTACCTTACCTTACCTTACCTTACCTTACCTTACCTCACCTTACCTTACCTTACCTTACCTTACCTTACCTTACCTTACCATTGCCTTGCCTTGCCTTGCCTTGCCTTGCCTTACCTTACCTTAACTTACCTTACCTTACCTTACCTTACCTTACCTTACCTTACCTCACCTTACCTTACATTACACTGCATTGCATTACAT